GATGCCGCTGATCACTCAGTTGTCGCAGCGCGAGTTGTGTCATGTCTATGATGCACCCCGTTTCGACTTTGGCTTGCTTTTCCTTCTTAGTGATGCGACCTCTCACCAATGTATTAAAACACATTGAATTTATACTTTGCATGATTATATTTTGTCAACGCGAAACATTATTTTTTCTAAACATTTTCTGAGACCATTTTTATCAACGCAGGGTTATTTTTCCCCGACAAGATGGGCTTCGTAATATCTGCCATAACATCGCCGGGCGATGCCTAGAAAAATAAAAAAAGGCAGTGCAGTCAGACGGCTACTTTGTAGCCATGTGTTCATTGTTTGTTTGTGTACAGAGTGACCTTTGCCATTTCACTGTTTCATTTCAAGTGTAACATGGTGCGTGGTCCTTAACGCAGTGCGTGTTCTCTGCCTGACTATACGCCATGAATGTCGCTAGCCACGAGTCTCAGAGGTACTAAAAAAACGTCCTGTAATCGTGTTCATTGGAAAACAAAACAAATCACTAATAAATTTATGAAAACAGCTCCTTTTTGCACCAAAAACCAATAATTTCCGTTTTTACGCTATTAATTCGTGCACTTGAAAAAATAATTATTTTTACTACCGCGAATTAATTGAGTTTTTACGGTACATTTATAGAGTTTGGGAAATGGAAGCATTAAAGAGAAACAAACAAATTTATACAACTGATGTTAGATTTTTTCCGTAGCCAATAAACAACCATGTGTACAAATTACGTAAAGTTATTAATAATCTAAAACCAATATTTAGACCATGCAGACAGAAAGTTTCCAAATTAATTCTACTGTACATGTAGGTAAAATCATTAATGGTTTTAGGGTTTGGGACAAATACTTAGCCTTAAAAATAAAAGGGAGTCACGAGTGCACTAGTTTCCATGATGGTGAAATTTTTTCTTCAAATCTCACATTTTTGATAGGTGACATTGTATGAAAAACCGGGTACATGTATATAACTTTTCATATATGAGTCCTAATATTGTTAAATTATTTAAAATATTTAGATTTAATTTATTAAGCTTCTAGTGTTATACTGTGGAATACTTCATTTTCGCTATTTTCGCAGAAAAAATGATTCAGTGAAAGAAAAATCCAGCACATATACTGTTGTTCCTATATTTTACATTCAACTTGTCCAAAATCATCAAAAATAAATTCCATACAAAACACCTAAAAAGCATATTCAGCAAAAATTAGTTCCAGCTAAAATAAAGTATTTTACAGTATATACAATGCATGGAGTTAATAAATATTTGGTTCAAATTATCAGCAATTAGTACATGTACAGTACATGAATGCATAATGTCTTCATTCTATTCACTTATTCCTACATGTATGTTTTACAAAGATTTCAACAAAATTGTACCCCATATCCTTAAAACATCACTTGCTAGTCACACAAATTTAACTTGGTTGACATTTTATAGTGATTGATAAAATTTCTAAATTTGAAATCTGATAAAACTTATTGTTATTGTAACCACAAGAAGATAATTTTAAGTAAAATTTAATCAATATCTTGAAAAATTTACATGGAACACATACAATGTACCAATGTCAGACATGGCCAATATCACAAACTGGTTTGACAGAAATTGGATAGAAAATGTTAGAGTTATTGTAACCACAAAACAAAACACAGTCAACAACAACTACAACATGAAGGACATCATACATTTGTACATGTATATTGTGGCCTTATCCACAGAACTGAGAAATTATCTTTTTATGCACTGTTTCATGAACATAGGGATAATTTATAATATAATGTCCATCTAGGTGCTTTCTTGATTGTTTTCATTTGTAAACATTTCCAATACCATATACATC